TTTCTCTCCTGAGCATGAGCTGCAGGGTACGGGGTGACAGAGCAACCACAGCACAGCCTGGGATGCCGATCCCACAGCACCTGGGGGTTTCTTTCCTTCCTATAGCTTTGTCCCCTGCTCTCAAGGCAGCGGGAGTGGGGTGCTCCCAGGGCCCGTGCACGCTTCTGTGCTGGACCCTCTGCAGTGATACCCGGCGTCTGTGCAGACCCTGGCCAGGGCTGGCCTGCTGCTGCAGAGCTGGGGACACCCGGAGATCGGCTGGTGGCTCTTGGCCCCTGCAAAGCCTTGGGGACCCTGCACAAAGACGCTTCACAGCTCATGGGTGGGAATCCAGCTGTAAGCAAGAGCCGCGGCTCCAACCAACCAGGTCTGCCCCTGGGAAAAGGGTCTTTTCCCTGGCTGCAGAGCCTGGCCCCATTTCTGCCCTGCTTGCACCCGAGCAAATTAGACAGCAGCAGCCCCTGCCTCTGCAGGCATTGAGCGCTGCCCCAGGGTGGAGCCAGCAGCATGCCAGGCAGCAGGGAGGAGAGGAAGGAGCAGCCAAGGAGAAGAAGAGAGGTGAGGTGGCCTGGGAAGCACCTGCTGCTGTGTTCCTGTCCCTGCAGGGTACCACAGGCTCCCTTTTCCAGGCTGCCTCTCCTCCGTATTCTCCAGCTGGTGAGAGGTTGCACAGGAGACCTGTTTCCAGCACGTGCTCTCCCCTCCGCTGGCTGGGCAGGACCTGCTGGGTTTAGGTGCTCTCGGGCCCATTCCCAGCGGATGGCAAGGCTGGTGGCTGGGTGCAGGCCGCAGGCTTTGGCCTCCAAGCGCCCTCGATCCTGTTGCACAGGTCCTGTGGTGGAGCAGGCGTGTGCAGGTGTGGGAGTGAGGATGCATCTGCCTGGCAGGAGCATCCCTCGCTGCTGCAGCGCGTCCTGCCTGGAATGGAATCTGATGAGCACAGCCTTAAATTGCCTAGCCAGCAGACGTGGCGCTGAGCCCTGTGCTCTGATGCTGCATCCAGCCTTTTGCATAGCGGTATCGATTCTGCAGCAGGAGAGTCTTGGTGAAGTGGTCCTTAGCCCTTGCAGAGCCGCCGGGCTCCCTGCCTGGCTCTGTGTGGCGTGGGGACAGTGCCAGCATGCAGGGATGCTCCCCTCCTGTCTGTGTTGGTGCTGTGTGGGCGATCTGTGGTCCTGGCCTTGCTGTCGCCGTGCTGCCATGACCAGGTTTGTGTGTGGACGTGCCTGAGGGGCAATCCCAGGTGCTGGTGGGAGCTCTGCTCAGCCGCCCAGGTGCAGGACGAGAGGGAGAGACCAGATCAGCCTCCGGGAAAGTCGTCGCAGGTGCTCCCTTCCTAACTTCTCCACATCTCTGTTCTTGCTCTCCATGCTTGCTGCAGTGCCCACAGGGCTGGGCATGGAGGTCATGGCTCCTCCCATCATCAACGCCTTGAATGGCACCTCTGTGAAACTCTCCTGCACCTTCAACTCCTGCTACAAGGTGGAAAACAAGCAGTTCTCCCTAAACTGGACGTACCAGGAGTGCAAGAACTGCTCAGAGGAGCTGGTGAGTCTCACTGAGTTGAGGCACTGCTGGGGGTTACGGGAGCAGCTTCCCTGACTTGAAACAGTTGTGCGGGTTCCTCTGGGTCCCTATGCATGGTTCTCTTATCCAGCTCGCCACTGCTGCGAGGAAGCTTAGCAGTCAGCAGTGTACAGAGCCAGGGTGGCCACAGTGGTAGACTGGAATGGAGAGATCTGCAAGGGGAGAGACTTGCAAAGCAGCTCTGCAAGGGAGCAATGCTGGTGGTGGGCATGGGCTTGGGAAGGGGTTCACAGGACGAGCACAACCAGGGAGATGCGCAGTTCAAGCTGTGCCAGGCAGCATGGTGCCTAGCCGGGGAAGACGAGTGTGCTGGGTCCCAAACGTTCTCTCCCCTCGTCTGCTGCCCACACTGCCCAGTTCCTGCAGTTCCGCATGAAGATCATGAACAAGCAGCTGGACCGCTTTGGGAACCGCGTGGAGTTCACCGGCAACCCCACCAAGTACGACGTGTCCTTCACTCTCAACAACGTGCAGCTGGAGGATGAGGGCACCTACAACTGCTACGTGCTCAACCCCCCGGACCGGCAGCGGGGCCATGCCAGCATCAGTCTGAAGGTGCTCACTGAAGGTCGGTGCAGAGCGGTGCCTGGTCCCTGTGGCCTCGGCCAGGCGCCGCCTGTCCTGACCCCGTGTCCTCTCTCCCCAGAGCCCCCCAAGCGTGACTCGACGGTGGCCGTCATCGTGGGCGCCTCCGTCGGCGGCTTCCTGGCTGTGGTGATCCTGGTGCTCATGGTGGTGAAGTGTGTGCGCCGGAAAAAGCAGCAGAGGCTCAACACTGATGACCAGAAGACAGAGGAGGAGGGGAAGACGGACGGCGAAGGCAACCCGGATGAGGGCACCAAGTAACACCCCCCGCCCCGGGCTGCCCTCCCCTCTCCACCCCTGTACAGCCTGTCTCCCTCGATGTGCTTCTCAGAGCAAGGATTGCCGTCCCCCTGAGCATCCCTCCCTCCAGCGAAACAGTGACCCAGCCCGGCACGGGGAGCAGGTACCTGGGCTGGACTGCGGAGCCCCGGGCCCGGGCGCTGC